GTGGCATTCGTCTCAATTACACCGATATGCCAAAGGTACATCCAGATTCGCCGATTCGTGAATTGGTCAATTTGTTCGCCTTCATTCACGCCACCTTTTCCATCAATAGGTTTCCATACCTTTTCTACTCCACTCTTTCATATACCCAAATCTCCTCCCATTATAGCTATCGATACGACAACGCTGGTTGATCTCCTTCCAGACCCGCAGAAGGATATCTTAATTCAACACGTTGCTCCAGCAGTAGGCGCACTACCAGAGGTGGTACCTCTCTCCCTTGGCCTCCTCTTCTCTGCTGTCGCGCACTCTGGCTGGCGTCTGGACACCTCACGACTCTTGGATGCCGCCGCTGCTGTCGGCAATGGACGGGATAAAGTGCTACCAAGCACTCTTTTTGAACGTGATTTCACTCTCTCCTTCTGGCTCCAACGTGAGCCCAAACAGGATGATGATCATGAAACCATTCTCTGCAGTCAAGAGGACACAGGTGAGGGTCGGTTCCAGTGAATATTCTCAAAAAAATAGTCAGTTATCCGCCTGCCGAACACTTGTGGAGTGTTGACCTTTGCTACTACCTAAGTCGTTTTCACGGAACCAATAATAAGACTTGGATGACTATCAATAACCATCAATCAACCAGACTAGTCTAATGTGGAACTCCGGTTCGGCAAAAGTACTGAGGATTTTGTATTTCCCGAACCACACTCCAAAGGGTCTCAGTCCCAACATCTGTTTGCTTCCTTCTTAAAAAATGTCATTCAACCAAATTCGGTTTAGTACACTGACCTTTTCAGTCGCTTTTCAAATGCCACGGTGTTATTGACAACATTAGTTGTAAAGCCGTCAACACTCTCGTAATTATCGCAGCCAATGGCCATCCACAGGGTGACAGGATTGCGCCCTTACGAAGGGATATTAGAGCGTTAGGGCTGCAGACTGATAGCAACATTTTCTCGCTTTCTCTATTTCCATAAGCATGGGAATCGAGCTTGCTTAGCTACCAACTGTGGCTGACACCGGTAGTGGAAATCCGAACAGGCATTACTGGTCTTTGTGGTTAAAAGAGAAGTCAAACTAGTGCCAATAATATAGACAAGTCTCTTAATGTGGATTTCTTTCTCTTCACAATCTTCTGTTCACCCTAGGCGGTCCTTCTTTCCTTTGCTTCTTTAGAATTGAATGTCGGCTCAGGGAGGGAGAAACTTTATTAAAAGTAGCTTTTATCGGAAGAGGGCGTTGCCAGAGCCTCCTAAAACCAACGCCATCGGGAATAAAGGCTTCCGCTCTCAGTTGGGCGAATGGGGACCAACTCATGGCACCGGGTCTTAGATGATATTAAGAAAGTGATTACCACTGACGTTGCCTCCTCATTGGATTTGAATCTGAAGCAACAGCAGCCTGTTATGCGCACCCATTTATGTGCCTAAACCATGCCTTGTGTTTGGGCAAGGCGGATAAATTTTCATTTAACTTGCGTAAAATAATATATATGGCATAGCATGCAAGTGGTCATGATTTGGAGTTCGCTTTTAAGTGCTATTAGATGCTAGTGTTTGAGGAATCTCAAGTGAAAATACTGTTTCGCCAGAACTCAATTCCACTCAACCGCGATAGGTTGCGTTCTCTAATGCAAGAGTCTGACATTAAGCAATGGCAGTTTGCATATGTGCTGGTATGCAGGCGGTTTTATTTAGTTCTCATGACGTCGTGAGGCCAACACTTGGTGTCTACACTCCATCACTTGCCTTCCGTCTTCTCTGTGTGTGTGCGTGTGTGGGTGTGTGT